CGGGCTGCTTCTCTCCCTCCCCATCGACCATATGACTGCAGCATTGATCTTGTTCCGGGTAGTACGCCACCTCGTGGTAGACTTTATTTCTTGTCCACCCCCGAACGCGAAGCGCTTGAGAAATCCAGGCTCGCTGTGCACCCTTGGGTGTGAGGGACTCAAGCTACTGTCAGTCAACGTTTCTGGTGGCCTGCTTTAGTCTGTGATGTATGCTGTTTTGTAGCTCCGTGTCCAGTCTGCACCCAATCTAAGTCTAGCAACTCCCCGCCTGCTGGTCTGCTTCGCCCCCTCCCTATTCCGTCTCATCCGTGGTCGCACATCGCTTTGGATTTCGTTACGGGTCTACCTCCTTCCGCGGGTAACACGGTAATTCTTACAGTTGTCGATCGCTTTTCCAAGGCGGCCCATTTTGTCTCCCTTCCCAAACTCCCCTCTGCTAAGGAGACGGTGCTAACAGTATTTGAGCACGTTTTTAAAATCTGGACTACCCTCTGACATGAGACCACAATTTGTCTCTCAGTTTTGGAGGGAATTCTGTCGGCAGATTGGAGCTACGGCCAGTCTGTCGTCAGGATTTCACCCACAAACAAATGGGCAAGCTGAACGCGTCAATCGGATATTGGGACGTTTGCTCCATACTCTAGCTGCTCACAACCCCACTTCCTGGTGTGAGCAGCTGCCTTGGGCTGAATACGCTTTTAATTCGTTACCATCGTCATCTACTGGGTTATCTCCAATTCATTGTTGTCTAGGTTACCAACCACCGCTATTCTCCTCTCAAGAATCCAAAGTCTCCGTCCCCTCCGTCCAGGCCTTTATCCACGTCTTGTGTATTAAGCCCATTGTCTGCCCACCCTACCTTCCTTACCCACCCTCCCCCCCGTCCCTGTCGAGGGTTCGCCCGTCTTTAGAGTCAAGAAGCTGTTGGCTGTCTGCCCTCGGGGAAGGGGTTTCCAGTACTTGGTCGATTGGGAAGGGTACGGCCCGGAGGAGAGAAGCTGTATCCCGGCCCGGGACATTCTGGACCATTCGCTCATCAAGGACTTCCGTCATTCTTGCCAGTCTCCTTCCTCATGAGTGCCTGGGGGTGCTCCTTGGGGGAGGGGTAATGTCATGAGCCGGGTTTGACTCTAGTTTTCTTTTCTTTTTCGTGCTGTGCTATCCTAGACTCAGCTGTTCGCGATCACAATCAGCGCTCGCTCTGATTGGGACTGCACCTGTTCCCTCTTTATGCTGATTTTCCTCTCTATTTCTCTTTGCGTGTTACAAGGTCTTTTGCCAGATTATTGTGCTTTTATGTCAGTCTCTTGGCTCTCTATTACGTCATTTGTAGGATCTAGTCATGTCCAGTCCTGTGTTATCTAGTTGTGTCCTATCGTGTGACTTGGATTTCTGCCCAGTCTCCCATTTACCCACTGCCAGCAATTCGCTCTCCTCCGGACGCTGTCCTCCGGTCCATACTGTCTGAGAGGTAGTCACTCCTCGCTCTGCAGCCCAGGGTAGCACCATGTACACTCAAGTCAAGTCAACCCTTATGTTCCAGTGCTCCTGAGTTAAAGTCCAGTTCTACGAACGCCGAATACGGCCAGTGATCGCAGACTGCCTAAGTTTGTTTTTTGTGGACAATAAATCCTCTGTTTGACTTGCCTTTGCTTCTGTGTCCTTTTATCGTGACATTTACGTTTTCATTTACATTTACATTTATTCATTTAGCAAATGCTTTTATCCAAAGCAACTTAATTGAGAAGCAAATACAGAAGTACTTTTATAGTTTTAATAATATTTTGTATTCATATTTAGAATTTTAATTTTGTATGATTTTTTTTGGTGATTGTTTTAGTGATTTTTTTGTTTTGTTTTTTATGATTTTAATATTTTCAAATTTTGTTTTAATTTTAAGTAAAGTTTTAGTTATTTGTGGTTTTATATGGTTTTAGTTTCAGTTAACTATAATAACAATGGTTATTGTGCTTGTGTTGAAGCCCTGATGGAAGACATTTGAAAGGGACTTTATTTTTACTTGCATAACAAGCTTCTAATTGCTGATTTTATATGGTATATATGGAGTAGGATTTACTTGGGAAAAAAAACCTCAAGAAACTTCACTCAGAAATTTCTAGTAAATTTCACAAAGAAATAGCATAACATTGAAATAAATGTGACTTTTTAAAGTAGAAAGATTGATATATTATTTTCTTGTAAAATGTACTCCAGTAATCTTTTTTTTGATTGGTCTTATTTAACTGTTTTAAAAGTCTTTACAGTGTTGATGGCCGATCAGCTGGACATCTGGCTGGTATAGATGACCTTGGACCTTCTAGCATGGCCCAAAAATCTGTTTTTCCAGTTTCATTTTGCTCATTCTGTTTCTCTTTTATTAGATGCGCCAAAGTTCCAGACCAATCAAACCATCTTCTACTCATGGGAGGGAAACCCAGTGAACATCAGCTGCGACGTGAAGTCCAACCCTCCAGCGACCATGCTGTGGAGACGAGACCGGTTTACCATCTCTAGTCAAGGGACCAGCAACATCCGCATTCACACCACAGAGGGCCGATCGCTTCTAGAGGTTCAGCAACTTTACAATAATGCACTTTTAGTAGTTTATTTACATTGCACATTAGGTATATTTGTTTTTCATTTTAGTTAGAGTTTTATTTATTTATTCATTCATTTATTTTTAATTGTGCATGATCTTTCTGGTGAAGCAGGTTGACCACGGAAATCTTTCTGGTTAAAATAATGAATAAACAACAGCATCCAAAACAAAAGGTGCTGGTTAAGTTATCTTCCTCTTGTTGAACCCAGTGAAAATGTATTTAACTTACACATGAACTGCTACTGTATCTAGTTGCATATCCATATTCTTGCACTCATTTTCTCATTCTCCTGACCTTTGGGTTTGTTTTTATCCACAGGTCACTCCAGTGTCGGACAGGGATTTCGGACGTTACAACTGCACAGCCAGAAACAACATCGGCGCTCGATATCAAGAGTTTATATTAGCACAGGCAGGTATGTGTTTACCAATAACACTAAACTTCCCTTTAAAAGTCCAGCATGAGATTAAAATACACATTTTAAATTTTTAAACCTGGTCTTTTGAAAGGTATTTACAGTTTTGTTTGAACTGTTAACTTAGTTGGCAGTAAAACATAATAACATAATATTTTGAAAGTTAGGTAGCGTTAGTTGTAGAACGTTGTAGTACCATATATTGGGTTAATTGGTATGTCCTGTACGTGACCTCCCTTGTCCCGTTTATTGACTGCTATGCTGATGTATCCACTGACTGATGCAACAGCAGCAGTGCAGATCACGACACTTGAGAATGATCACCGTCACCTGTCATCATCCAATCACATCCACTCCCTCATGCAGAATATGTAGAGGAAGGCTGCGGAATCCTCTGCCGGCTGGTCGCTCCCGCATTACAGTAAGCAGTGGTCGCGCTAATGCCAGTTCCCTTCACTGTCCGTGTTTTGACTTCAGCAAATCAGTTTTGGCGAATGCAAACAATGTTATTATTGTTCATGAGTCCAACATCCAGCCGCGCAAGAAAACATGCAATCTACCTGAGGTCAATTAGGGAAGTCGTCTTTCACTATTGTAATGTTGTTAAATAGAGAAAAACATTTTACATTTAAGTAACTTCTAGCGGATTCTTAACCTTGGACCTTATTCTTGAAACAAAATGACCAATAAAAAAAATGTAGGCCATATTAAATCTATTAGTTGTCTTTAATTGAAAAATATGAATTTTAATTTATACACAATTGTGCTCATAAGTTTACACACCCCTTGAAGAATATATAAAATGTTAAAGGGGTCATAGGATGTCCATTTTCCACAAGTTGATATGATTCTTTAGGGTCTTAATGAAAAGTCTGTAACATAGTTTGGTTAAAATGTCTCAATGGTAGTGTAAAAAACATCTATTTTACTCTGTCAAAAACAGCTCTTTTCAGAGCACACAGTTTTGTAGCATTTTCCTTTAAATGTTAATGAGCTCTGCTGACCCCGCCCCTCTCTTCCGAGCCGCTCTCAGAGAGACTGTTTACTTTAGCCGCATTCATCGTGAAACTTGCTAATGAGCGCATTAATAGGAAAGGCGATTTGCAAAGATTCATTACAAAACATTATACTCACATCTTGTAGATGAGGCTGGATCATGAATGATTCGCGTGAACATAGACACATTTAGGCAGATCGTGGGAGCATTCCCTTCAGAAACAAATGTAATCCACTGCGTGTTCAGCGGCTCAGATGTCAGGAGTAAATGACGACTGTCAATCAAATTATCGAGGGAGGGGCCTGTCTGTGTGACGTCATCTGAGATCGGCTCGATTTGAGAAAGGGGAAAACATTTAACGAGATAAAAAAAAAAAACACTGGGGGGATTTTTATCATTATAGGGTGTTTGTGTACACACACTGCCAACACAACTTGTAAAAGTGCATGTAGCATCCTATGACCCCATTAATAATTTTCACAGAATAAGAGGGATCATGAAAATTGCATGTTATTTTTTATTTAGTACTGTCTTGAATAAGCTATTTTACATAATGTACGTTTATATACTCCACAAGACAAAAAAATAATAAATGAATTTATAAAAATGACCCCATTCAAAAGTTTGTACCCTTGCATATGTATGTCGCTTATAAACCACGGTTGTCCCATATTTTCCTTTTCTGAAGTTGCCAACCCATAGTTGTAAGAAATGTTTTTGTAACCTTTAAATAACATTCTAATTGCAAGAAAACTGGACATTTCAAAACAATGTTCCCACAACTTTTTTTATTGCCTAAATTTGTTACCTGGGTTATTACATATTGTTTGCAAGCTTTTAATGTTGTCTTTAGGGATGCCTCATCTTATTTTCTCTGTTCTTGTGATTGACTCATATTAATATCAGAGTGCGTTTGGTTTGAGACGAGGTGACATGTTGACCTGAGAAACTGGTTTGTGTTTGATTTAAACCTGTTGTCATATGCTAAGCATTGATCTATTATTGAAATTTTCCATAATGATATGTCCTTCCCATCTGGCCACTGCTAATTTAACTGTAGCTAATCTTCTGTAATGCCATGTGATTTACTAGAGAGCTCACTAATATACCAGAGTAGTGTCCCATTTACTGTAGAGCTGCTTAATATGCCATGAAGAGCTGCAGTTTACTTCAGAGAGGACTTAATCGAGCCCAAGGGAATACACACACATGTGTATTATGTGTATATATATATATGTGTATATATATATACATATATATATATGTATATATATATATGATATCTATTTTACATCTCTTTTATAAATGTTCTGAAAGCAGATGAAATATCTCTACTTTTTCCATTGCCTTATAGTATTTCTGTTAATTGCTGAGCAGTTTTTTTTTATTATTAATTTTCTTTGACATTTTATAGGCCTTTTCATCTTAAAAGGGCAAAAGCATCTTCATTTACATGCACAGAGTGTTTTATGAAATATTTTGTTAAATAAACAAAATGCTGTCAATTACCAGCCACTGAGTTGTTGATCACGTAAAACGTAACAGGAATGTTTTCTCTCAGGTCTGTCATTTTTTATACATGCTAATATGCAAATGTGTGCATATTTAATAAAGTAATGCATAATTTGCATTATTTTGAACATTTCAATGGGAAAAGACACATTGCAAAACACTGCTTTTCTGTACAATACTGGTCAAAAGTTTGGATTTTTTTTTTTTTTTTGAAAGATTTTTTTATGTTTTTGAAAGAATATTTTTCTCTTCTATTTGCCTAGGCATATTTGATGAAAAATTCAATACAGTAAAATTGTGAAAAACTATTACAATTTAAATTAACAGTTTTCTATGTGAATATATTTTAAAATCAGCATCATTACTCCAGTCTTCAGTGTCACATGATCCTCCAGAAATCCTTCTAATATACTGATTTGCTGCTCAAGAAACATTTCTGGTTATTATAAATGTTGAAAACAGTTGTGCTGCTTCATATTTTTGTAGAAACTGACAAATTAATTTATAATGTTACAAAATATTTACTGTATATTTCCAATAAATGCTGTTTATTTGAATTTTCTATTCATGAGAAAATAAAAAACAGTTTTCAATAATAAAACAAAATTATAATTGAGCACCAATAATAATTGCGCATTAAATCAGCATATACGAATGCTTTCTGAAGGATCATTTAACACTGAAAACTGGAGTAATGATGCTGAAAACTCAACTTTGATCACAGAAATAAATTACATTTTACAATAATAGAAGCAGATATTTAAAATTATAATAATATTTCACAATTTTACTGTTATTTTTTATCAAATAAATGCAGCCTTGGTGAACAGAAGAGGCTTTTGAACAGTAGTGTATATTTTAATCTGGCTGAGTTTCAGGAAAAACATTAAAGCTCCTCCCTAAACATAAACCTTAAATATGACAGAAATGGCCTAAAATAGGAAAGTTTGAAGTGTTTACTCTTACCTGACGAATGTCTTTCATGACGAGAGTAATTGTTCTTCAACAGGAAGCTGAACTGCAACCTTCTTCCTGTTGATTGATGGCACCAAAGCTCTCTTAGCTCTCGTCACTCACTAACACGGCACCACAAATGATGATGCATTCTGAGTTTCTCCAGTCCACAATTTATCTGATGCTCTGTCAATTGTTTATTTCACATTCACGCTTTAACACAGGATGAAAAGTCTGTTGGCCTCTTTATTTCACACAAAATGAATGAAGATGCCAGTCACACGCATTTTACCATCTACAATACAGATAAACAGCTGAGCTATGAAGGTGTAGACTATTTTCAGAATAAAGTACTAGTGTATACACTAACTTTTTCGCATATATTAAGCAAATATTCATTCATGTTTATTTAAAAGCATCATGTGTGTGTTTTTTCACAGATGTCCCGTCGCACCCGTACTCTGTTCGGCTGACCGCTGTCTCCCAACGTCTCGCCACCGTCACCTTCATGAAGCCCGACTCTCACGGCGGCGTCCCCATCAGCTATTACATCATCAACTATAAAGACACAAACTCACAGGACTGGAGGACAGTGAGATCACATGGAGTTCAGAGTGAGTGTCAAATGAGCCATTGATCAGAGTTTGTCACAAGACTTAACAGAGTCTCCATTTGCTCTCCATTTATAGTTTTTTTTTTTCAATTGCTAGGACACATGTCAATATTTAGGTTGCTTTTTCCAAACTCTTCACACAGTGAGCACAACAGCAGTCTATGTGGGCTAAACTGTAGATCATGTATTATTGCTTTGTCACCCAATGCATTCAATGACTACATCTTTCAAATGACATGAATTATTTTCTCACTCAGACACAAACACCACCAAAACTCTACATGCCTACAGTCCAGTTTGCACAGGTGTACATACTCTTCACAAAACAGTGAAACCTAAGTTCAAAAGCTAACATAATACAAAAATGAATAAGACTGCTATTTGCTACATTTCTACAGTAAGACCTTATTGAAATATATTCTGTATCTAAAAAATGAAACACTATCAGAACATTTAGATTTAGCTGAACAGCTACACAGGTGTGAGTCTTTCAATTACATTACCATCTCTACAAAAAGATACAAATTAGGATTTTTTTATTTTATTTTTTTTTTACTGTAATGTTAACATGGACTGTGTAATATATATTGCAGTGAATTATAAGCAGCAGATACTGTCATTCTTGTTTTGTAATGAGATTTTAGAGAAGAAAACTTATAATGTATAATGTATAATGTTACCTGTTGATAGTGTGTTTTTAGGTCATTGTTTTATGAGTGACAAAGTGTGTTTGTTGGGTCATAACCTGTGCTAGTGTTTTGGAAGAATGGCTTGATTTGAGACTTGTATGAAGTGTTTTGGTAGTTTTACACCATTAACGTTATATAAAATATAAAGCTATGAGACTTTGCCCTCAGCCAAAACTATTTGCTTTTGAACAAAGAATAGATTAATGTGACCAAAGACTCACACCCAGCATTTACTGTAAATATGATTCTTCCTTTCATTTAGAAATTGTTAAAGCAATTACTTTAAATACAGTAAAATTGTGAAAAACTATTACAATTTAAATTAACAGTTTTCTATGTGAATATATTTTAAAATCAGCATCATTACTCCAGTCTTCAGTGTCACATGATCCTCCAGAAATCCTTCTAATATACTGATTTGCTGCTCAAGAAAGCAAATTTCTGGTTATTATAAATGTTGAAAACAGTTGTGCTGCTTCATATTTTTGTAGAAACTGACAAATTAATTTATAATGTTACAAAATATTTACTGTATATTTCCAATAAATGCTGTTTATTTGAATTTTCTATTCATGAGAAAATAAAAAACAGTTTTCAATAATAAAACAAAATTATAATTGAGCACCAATAATAATTGCGCATTAAATCAGCATATACGAATGCTTTCTGAAGGATCATTTAACACTGAAAACTGGAGTAATGATGCTGAAAACTCAACTTTGATCACAGAAATAAATTACATTTTACAATAATAGAAGCAGATATTTAAAATTATAATAATATTTCACAATTTTACTGTTATTTTTTATCAAATAAATGCAGCCTTGGTGAACAGAAGAGGCTTTTGAACAGTAGTGTATATTTTAATCTGGCTGAGTTTCAGGAAAAACATTAAAGCTCCTCCCTAAACATAAACCTTAAATATGACAGAAATGGCCTAAAATAGGAAAGTTTGAAGTGTTTACTCTTACCTGACGAATGTCTTTCATGACGAGAGTAATTGTTCTTCAACAGGAAGCTGAACTGCAACCTTCTTCCTGTTGATTGATGGCACCAAAGCTCTCTTAGCTCTCGTCACTCACTAACACGGCACCACAAATGATGATGCATTCTGAGTTTCTCCAGTCCACAATTTATCTGATGCTCTGTCAATTGTTTATTTCACATTCACGCTTTAACACAGGATGAAAAGTCTGTTGGCCTCTTTATTTCACACAAAATGAATGAAGATGCCAGTCACACGCATTTTACCATCTACAATACAGATAAACAGCTGAGCTATGAAGGTGTAGACTATTTTCAGAATAAAGTACTAGTGTATACACTAACTTTTTCGCATATATTAAGCAAATATTCATTCATGTTTATTTAAAAGCATCATGTGTGTGTTTTTTCACAGATGTCCCGTCGCACCCGTACTCTGTTCGGCTGACCGCTGTCTCCCAACGTCTCGCCACCGTCACCTTCATGAAGCCCGACTCTCATGGCGGCGTCCCCATCAGCTATTACATCATCAACTATAAAGACACAAACTCACAGGACTGGAGGACAGTGAGATCACATGGAGTTCAGAGTGAGTGTCAAATGAGCCATTGATCAGAGTTTGTCACAAGACTTAACAGAGTCTCCATTTGCTCTCCATTTATAGTTTTTTTTTTTCAATTGCTAGGACACATGTCAATATTTAGGTTGCTTTTTCCAAACTCTTCACACAGTGAGCACAACAGCAGTCTATGTGGGCTAAACTGTAGATCATGTATTATTGCTTTGTCACCCAATGCATTCAATGACTACATCTTTCAAATGACATGAATTATTTTCTCACTCAGACACAAACACCACCAAAACTCTACATGCCTACAGTCCAGTTTGCACAGGTGTACATACTCTTCACAAAACAGTGAAACCTAAGTTCAAAAGCTAACATAATACAAAAATGAATAAGACTGCTATTTGCTACATTTCTACAGTAAGACCTTATTGAAATATATTCTGTATCTAAAAAATGAAACACTATCAGAACATTTAGATTTAGCTGAACAGCTACACAGGTGTGAGTCTTTCAATTACATTACCATCTCTACAAAAAGATACAAATTAGGATTTTTTTATTTTATTTTTTTTTTACTGTAATGTTAACATGGACTGTGTAATATATATTGCAGTGAATTATAAGCAGCAGATACTGTCATTCTTGTTTTGTAATGAGATTTTAGAGAAGAAAACTTATAATGTATAATGTATAATGTTACCTGTTGATAGTGTGTTTTTAGGTCATTGTTTTATGAGTGACAAAGTGTGTTTGTTGGGTCATAACCTGTGCTAGTGTTTTGGAAGAATGGCTTGATTTGAGACTTGTATGAAGTGTTTTGGTAGTTTTACACCATTAACGTTATATAAAATATAAAGCTATGAGACTTTGCCCTCAGCCAAAACTATTTGCTTTTGAACAAAGAATAGATTAATGTGACCAAAGACTCACACCCAGCATTTACTGTAAATATGATTCTTCCTTTCATTTAGAAATTGTTAAAGCAATTACTTTCTATGTGTAATTACTAAAGTAAAGCCATTACTGATCTATGTGACTTAGATTAGCATTTAGGACAGAAGAAGCAGCTCAGACATATTTTTTTATGAAACAGATCTCATTTGAGATGTTTCTATCCACAGAGCAAAACTGCAAAGCTTTGCAACAGAACATTTAAGCAAAAGAAATGCATGCTTACCACCCTATATTTTTCCTAAAAGCCATTGTCACTTCTCATTGTTTTTTTTTCAAGATGTGTCAACAGTCATTTCCATTACATTTGGTGCAGCTAAACAGATTTGCACTTGCTGAAGCAGCAGCGATAATGGCTTCAAGCTGTTTGTTCACTAAACTGCTTTACTTGCAGACAAGACTTTTCTGTGCATTAAGCCTTTAAATAATGTTTATTGTGGAAAGTGTGATGTAAAACGCTAATAACAAATAGAAACCCTCAAGTGAGTGTAGTTATATTGCTCAACTCCGCATCTCAGTCCCATGCAGAGCTTCATGCATCACAGAAATGGAAAGCAATGAACGTTTAAAGTTCAAGGTCTCAAACTCTAATTTAGAGTGCTTCAATTACATCCACATACTCTTTGTGGATTTTTCATTAAGAACTCAGTGTTCTTTGACTAAGTACAATAAGCACGCTCATTGAGCCGGCTCATTTTTATTATTGCTTTCTCATGTAAATGAATGAATACAATCATTGGCCAAGGTCTCAGATTTGATAAAGTCGTATTTTAATGTAAAATACATATTCAGTGTTAGATATATTGACTTATAAGTATATAAAAAGAATAATTTTAGAATTAGTACAGCCTCTTGATGAGGATTTAGCATTAAAAACCTAATATGTTAAACTGGAGAAATCAGCAAGACATCCAGATTTGCTAGTGTTATTTTAGTTTTATTTATGTACGGTTAAAGTGTTTAATATTTTGAGTTAAAGCTTTCACTTTTATTTTTTTGTTTCAGAGTGAGTGTCAAATGAGCCATTGATCAGAGTTTGTCACAAGACTTAACAGAGTCTCCATTTGCTCTCCATTTATAGTTTTTTTTTTCAATTGCTAGGACACATGTCAATATTTAGGTTGCTTTTTCCAAACTCTTCACACAGTGAGCACAACAGCAGTCTATGTGGGCTAAACTGTAGATCATGTATTATTGCTTTGTCACCCAATGCATTCAATGACTACATCTTTCAAATGACATGAATTATTTTCTCACTCAGACACAAACACCACCAAAACTCTACATGCCTACAGTCCAGTTTGCACAGGTGTACATACTCTTCACAAAACAGTGAAACCTAAGTTCAAAAGCTAACATAATACAAAAATGAATAAGACTGCTATTTGCTACATTTCTACAGTAAGACCTTATTGAAATATATTCTGTATCTAAAAAATGAAACACTATCAGAACATTTAGATTTAGCTGAACAGCTACACAGGTGTGAGTCTTTCAATTACATTACCATCTCTACAAAAAGATACAAATTAGGATTTTTTTATTTTATTTTTTTTTTACTGTAATGTTAACATGGACTGTGTAATATATATTGCAGTGAATTATAAGCAGCAGATACTGTCATTCTTGTTTTGTAATGAGATTTTAGAGAAGAAAACTTATAATGTATAATGTATAATGTTACCTGTTGATAGTGTGTTTTTAGGTCATTGTTTTATGAGTGACAAAGTGTGTTTGTTGGGTCATAACCTGTGCTAGTGTTTTGGAAGAATGGCTTGATTTGAGACTTGTATGAAGTGTTTTGGTAGTTTTACACCATTAACGTTATATAAAATATAAAGCTATGAGACTTTGCCCTCAGCCAAAACTATTTGCTTTTGAACAAAGAATAGATTAATGTGACCAAAGACTCACACCCAGCATTTACTGTAAATATGATTCTTCCTTTCATTTAGAAATTGTTAAAGCAATTACTTTCTAAACAGCTACACAGGTGTGAGTCTTTCAATTACATTACCATCTCTACAAAAAGATATAAATTAGGATTTATTTTTTATTTTTTTTTTTACTGTAATGTTAACATGGACTGTGTAATATATATTGCAGTGAATTATAAGCAGCAGATACTGTCATTCTTGTTTTGTAATGAGATTTTAGAGAAGAAAACTTATAATGTATAATGTATAATGTTACCTGTTGATAGTGTTTTTTTAGGTCATTGTTTTATGAGTGACAAAGTGTGTTTGTTGGGTCATAACCTGTGCTAGTGTTTTGGAAGAATGGCTTGATTTGAGACTTGTATGAAGTGTTTTGGTAGTTTTACACCATTAACGTTATATAAAATATAAAGCTATGAGACTTTGCCCTCAGCCAAAACTATTTGCTTTTGAACAAAGAATAGATTAATGTGACCAAAGACTCACACAATCAAGAACAAGAACTGAAAAAAAGAAGACTACATTTTGAAAGTTAACTTTAAAAAAATCCGCTAATGTGGATAAGTGGTCATTCACATGGACTTGGGAGACCATGGTGGAGCAGCCTCCGAGGCCGCAGCCCCAGCCTCGGCCACTACGGCTGAAGCCCTACTACCCCCCCCAAAAAAATACTTGGGGAAATTTACGGGGCTGTACTTGGGGCCAGGAGCCCTCCCTGGGCGTAACGGGGGATCAGGAGCCCTCCCTGGGCTAAACGGGGAAACAGGAGCCCTCCCTGGGATGAACGGGGAATCAAGAGCCCTTCCTGGGTTTAACGGGGAAACAGGAGCCCTCCCTGGGCTTAACGGGGAAACAGGAGCCCTCCCTGGGATGAACGGGGAATCAGGAGCCCTTCCTGGGCTGAACTGGGAATCAGGAGCCCTTCCTGGGCTGAACTCCGGATCAGGAGCCCTCCGTGGGCTATACTCGGGAAGAGGGCTATACTCGGGAAGAGGAGCCCTTCCTGGCCTGAACTGGGGATCAGGAGCCCTCCGTGGGCTTAACTCGGGATCAGGGTAGCGCTTACGTGGTGCTGGCACTGGAGGGTGCTCTGGAGGAGCAGGCACAGCAAAGCGCTTTCGAGGAGCTGGCACGGGAGCGAGCTCTGGGGCTGGAGCCAACACGGGAGCGAGCTCTGGGGGAACGGGCACTGGAGGGCGCTCTGGAAGGCGCTTACGAGGAGCGGGCACTGGGGCTGGAACCCTTGGTGGGCTTGACACATTAACGTCCTTTGGGCTTGCCACATTAACGTCCTTTGGGAGGTCCACGGGGCGATGGTAGTTGGCCCCGTGCCAGAACAGCGAGTTGATGATGTCGTCATCGAGGGCCGTAGCCGCGGCGAGCCGGCAGAACTCCCAGGAATACTCGACAAAGGGGAGATCGAGGCGAGCTAGGGCGGAGAAGAGAGCGGCAATTTCCATTGCCGCGGGGAAAACAAAAACTTTTCAACAAGGCGGAAAAAACAAACGCAAGGAAAAAGTCGCCGCTCACTTTCTGTTTTGGTCCGGTATTCTGTCACGGGTTGCTACTGTGAGGAGCACAGAACGAGGAGACCAGGAGTACAAACCAAGGAGTTTCTTTACATTGTGGGGAATCACACGTAGCACAAGGGAGTTGACATTCACAATATCGGACAACACTAACAAAAAGGACTCAGACTTTTAAACACAGGATGACGAGGGACTAAGGAGACACACCTGGGATCATTGAAAATTAAACACGGGAAACACCTGGGAAGAAATCAACATAAACACCTGGGGAGCAAGACACAGACAAAACATGGAACAGAGTCTGACAATAACTCTGTTGCACCAAACTTTAAACCTTGTTTAAAAATAAGCAGGTTTACATTTAAAATTTATTTATTTTATATTTAAGGTAGATTAACTTTAATCCTGTTGCTCCGTAACTTTAAACTCAGATTTAAATCTCAATTAGGGATTAATTTTAAATTTACAGGTGAGGAGGTTTAAATGAAATAAAGTGCACCTACAGTTGCAATTATGTGGCTGAATAAACAAAGAAAACAACAGAGGGTTAGGTGTGAGGTCTCAGAAAGGTGTTTATTGCAA